TGATGTTACAATCTTGCTTCCATGTGGTGTCATGTGGTTAAAACCACTTCATCGAATTCTCCATGAAGAGATTTCATGTTTATGAAAATACTTAAAAATGAAATGTATATGCAAAATGCAAAAATGCATGAAATGTTCGAGGCATTGATCAAAAAACATGTATGTTATTGTAAATAACCTTTATTGGGACAAAAGTGTTTTATCTTTTAAGAGACAATAAACATATTTAAAGGTACATCCGGACTAAATCCTCTAGGCCCGAAACCGGTTGACTAGTCATTTGCCTTCGTCTTTCACCAGTTGAATAACCTGTCGAACCGCTTCGACCTCTCTGGATGAACCGTGAAAATGTTGAGTTTTTTTGTATTGGTTCCCAAAAAGTGTCGAATGACTTCATCTCTGGCTTTCATCCTTTGCTGAATCGGAAATTCCATTGAAATCCTCCATCAAAGGGATTATTCGAAGTTCATTTGCTTGTTTCTTGAATTTGTCGACAGTGACTTTCCATCTTGTTCTTGTTGTCTTTGAATGGACTCTCGAGGTAAGTAACATTTTTCTCGTCTTGCCCCTGCCACCTTTGTCAACCCATTTTTGAAAAGTTAACTTTTGATGTACTTGATTGTGGGCACCATGAATGTGACACATAGTTGTCTTGCAAATTGTCCTCATTTTCTTTCTGAGCCTTTTCGGACCATAGCCGGACCCCTGCGTTCTTATCTCTTGTATTACAACCCCTTTGTCCATTAATGAAGATTATTCATGTTTTAACAAACAAGTTTTTGGTGGATCAACACCTCTTTTAAATGATGCAAATAATGAAAACAAAATAAAAGAGAACAAAAGTAAAATAGAGTTAGTGAGATAAATCAAAACAATAATAAAAACGAAAAATCCTACCCCACATGATATCTACCCCGCATGCTTTAATTCCTACCCGGACATGATCTCTATCCCGCATGTTAATTCCACACAAATCCTAACCACATATTTATCTAGTTCGCATGCTTTGAACAGAAAGTAAAGCAGAAAATAATTCCGGCATCCTAGGGTTTGAAATGAGGTTTTGAGGTGGGCTCTAACTCCTTGTAGTCTCCCGAGTTAGGTTCTAAAAAAACGGTACTCGAGTTCTCCTTGCTGGTGCCTCCTTAGGCTTACCAGACCCTTAGTCCTAAACCCATCACAGGCTTGTGTGAACTAAGTTAAACTCGAGAGGAAACATTCCCTTATGCTCATACGGAGAATAAATTCACACGAAGACATAAGGTATATGAATCCCGAAGGCTACTTGCTAGGCCCGCACGGTGAATAAATTCACACGAAGGCGTCGCTTTCACCCCCACTTAAATAGGGTTCGAAGCTCGGGTATAGAGTTAGAAATGACAATTTTGAAAATTCTGAGATCATTAAAAAACGTCAGTACAACTATTTACTTGAAAAATAATCAAAGGTAACTAATTAGAATCGAATAAATAAATTAAAATTAAAATTTATAACTTTCGCTAAAAAAGACAACCGAAAATTAATTTCGGCCTGACTCACTTACCTGTCCCCAGCGGAGTCGCCAAGCTGTCGTAACCGTCTTTCGGTTGGGGACCAGAATTGGGCTTCGACTTGATTAATTGATTAGGGAGTCGCCACCGACCATTTTAAAACGAATTTAGGTGGGTCGGACACCATCTTACCTGATCTGCGTTATATCAGAAATGTGTCGGGTTCGAGAGTCGGTTACAATCAAGGAAGGATTAGCACTCTTGAACCGCCCTTTCGGTACCAATTAATTTGTCAGTTGTCTTAATTACGAAAATTAGAAATTTAAATTAAAACTTGAAATATTCGATTCGAATTATTAGCTTTGATCGATTGAAATTACCATTGAAAATGCCAAAAAAGGTTAGATGATAAAATAAAAATAAATACGAGGAAAAATTCTAAGATAAAATAAGTAACAGAGATAATTAAAAGTTAGTAAAAAAGAAAATAAACAAAAATAATAAAGAAAGAAAGAAAGAAAATAAAATGAATAAAATAAAAATTAAAAGGGTTAGTGAAAAAATAAAATAAGAATAAGAATAAACTAAAAATAAAATAAAATATTTAAACGTAAACCATGAAAGAAAAAATAATAAATAAAACAAAAATGACTAAATTAAAATAAAAGTAAAATAGAGAGTCCAAAGTAAAAACAAATGCAATTAGTGACCAACTTGAAAGAAATAAAAACATAACTCCAGAGCTACAATATGGAACTCTCTAATGACGCATTCCCTAGTTAACCCAAAAATTATATGAAACTCAAAAAATCCTTTGATTTTCACGCGTGATTCGTTTGGATTTTTTCTTTTGGCATTCTTTTAAATTAAAAAAAATAAAACTGGGATTTGAAAATTGAAATAGGTTCTTGTACCATATTTGACTTCAACGCGTTAATCTGAAACAGATAAAATGCTCTCTGGTAAAACCCATTTCCTGGGATTCTCTTGAGTTTATCATCGGGGCTCAAATGCGCAAGAAATGGAGCACCAAGGCTCTCCTTGGCATTGAATCCCGTCGAACAGTGTAAGGAAACTTGAAACCACGTTTATCTTTTTTACTCGTATCCTTCTGTTCTTCTCCCTTGTATTTTTTCTCTTCCCCGGTCCTCAGCCGAGCGGATTTTGATTGTTTCCGAGCCAAAACGTAAACAAGAATCAACATGCAAGGACAGTAAAACGAACAAAAAGGTAAAAAAATGTACCTTTCTTTTATTTCCTTTTCGAAAAACACTTTACAAATGCCTTGATTGCTCGTATATCTCTCTAAGTGTTTCGTGTGATTTTCTAGTGGCTTTGTGTGCGTGTAATCGTGCTTATTTCCGTCGCGTTTCTTGTAAACTCTGAGTATTTTTGCGTGTCACCTCCTCCCATGAGTGTTCTAGTTACATGGGATTTATAGCCTATGATTTTAGAGTTTGATCCTTATTAGAATTCTAACTCGGTTGTTTGTTGGTTTGTTATCTCCATGAAATCCTTGCGCCGGAGAAATCAGAGTGGTTGAAGATGGGATATATCCGGGCTTGGGAAGTTCCGTGCGGCGCTGCTTGCTAGGGTTCTTGGAAACCTTGATCTGAGTTGGTTTGTTGGGCCTCGTGTTTTTTGTAGGGCCTGCAAATGTAACAAAACAATAAATAAATAAGTAATATAACACATAATATATATATAATATGTTTTATATTAAATATTATAATGAGACGAAATTTGGTGTCTACACAGGGATATGCAAAGTAATGGTTGATTAACTTGAAGAAGTCCCAACCAATTGTCTGCAGCCTGAAAGAGGTTGTTCGCCGAGTGACTATAGATTGCTCCATTAGGTGTCCACAAGGAACTCTTATACTTGTATGACGCAAGACCAAAAACAGGCAATGGCATCACCTGAACATCATCCATGTCATGGGGACATGTTACCACCTAAAATATTTTGAGAGAAAACGACAGATGAGGTTTCTTGGGCATTACATGGGTTCTATCGGAACTTATGCAAGTATACATTTGTTAATGGTGAAATTTGGATTATGATTACTATGAGCCTATGAGCAATTCACCTTTTGATGGCAGTGAGTCGCAATGGTAGTCGTAGAAATTCTCTCTGAAGTTAGGACGACCGAATTCTTGGCCCACTACTCTCCCTAAAACCGCCGGCTGCGAATCTCAAATCAGAAGGGATTACAGATGTTTTAGGGAGAATGATGTGATGAGGATGATAGATCATCTAGCTCTAGAAAAAATTCCTAAAATCGTCACCTAACTAGTCTAAACAAAAAATAATAATCACCCATAACCATTGTAACCCAAATTTTATCATCAACAAACACATCCCTGGTTCACACACATTAGAAAGAAAAAATGTTCCAAATGGAATTCTTTACTACCTCCTACTGGTGTATGAAGATAATAGTCAGTCAGAAAGCAAGCATCTAGATCCTTTAACGGAGGCAGAAAGAGAGAAATGCATACCAACCTTGTCAGGCAAAGGTTGTCGGCTACATGGAGGGTCTCGTTCAAAGTAACAAAAAAAAATCGAACTTCTATGAGAATTGACAGATTCAACCTCATCACTGGATAAGTCTTGTTGAAGTATCTGCTCATCTCCCATGGAAGCAACTCAAGTTCTTAAATAATATTTAATACAAAACAACTGATTCACTTCAAAACTATTACCATAAACTCTCACGTAGCTAGATTGTGCTTGGCATTTTTGCATTAAAGAGGATCTGGGACACAAGACAAACAATTTGCAACACAAGGGAGAGAGATATAATGCATCAGGTAAAGACCTTATTTTCACCTTCCCAGAAAATGCTATAATCAAGGAAGCATAGAAACAAGCACGAAATACGAATATGACACTTTATGAACATTGTCCTCACCGAATAAGAACCTGTCGGGTGAACCATTTGTCATGTATTCTTATACAAGAGCTCTCAGATTCCTCTCGAAACAGAAGCCATAGAACAACGCTTTGACTGCCACCATGGTTCCATTGCTAAAGATTCCTTTGTAAACAGCTCCAATGCCACCCCAACCGAGCAAGTTGGTTAAATTATCTGTGGCAATGCGTAGCTGCTGGTAGGTAAATCTGATGGGCTTCCCCCTTTCCTTTGTAAACAACAATAATTGTAGAAGTGATTGGGCTTCTAATTTCCAGATCTCCAAAGTAGTTTGATTTTAGAATTTTCTCGGAAAATGCACCCTCCGATGCCTCTTTTCATCTCTTCCAAGGGAAAAGAAAATTCCATTCAAAGGATTCACTTTTGAAAGTGTAGGGAAAAGAAAAAGCATGCAAAAGATGCCAAAGAAACAGAGAAATCTCCAACATCAGATTCTTTTCTTTTGCTTTGAAGCAAACTGACCCTCCCAATCATTCAGCCAACTTTCAAATTCCAGACCCTCCCAATCACTTCACTTGCATATATTTAACATCCAAAGAAGAAAAGAGACAGAGGGAGGTACCCTGAACCGAATATGACGACGCTGCAGAAATTCAAGTTATTAGCGACGCACTGCGGCGTCACCCAGAGCCCGACGAGAAGTCCAAGGACGAGTCCCCTCGTCAACTTCCGTCGCCCCAAAACCACATTGCGAATGTTCCTCACCAGAACCGGTAGTCGGAAATCATCAAACGCCAGGGAAATGCCGTATCCGCAGAGTTTCACCGGCATTCCGGCCGAGAAAAAGAAGGGCAGCGGTCACAGTTTGAAGGATTTATTTGTATCATCTCCGTCGCTAGAAGGAGGAGATGGCAACGAATATGAAACCGTTGAGGATAAATTTGGCGGAAAGGGTGAAGTCGTTTTAGCGACGAAAGTCGGTGGTCTTAATGGACTGGGAGGTGAACCGGGATCGCCTAGGCCGGGTTGGATGGGGTTCAGGCATCGTATGCTGTTGAGGAAAGCTTGGCGTCCCATGCTTCAGACAATCCATGAGTAGTTTTCTGCTCTTCTTTTTGTTATTACGTAGCTTAATTTTTCATTTTATGTTTGGATTTGCGTTAGGCGTTTAAATCTCTTCTTAAACGCACGTTTAATGTGAACAAATTAGTCAGTTCAGTTGGCCTATTTGGTTTCAATGAAAATTTTGCTTTTTATTCATCGCCATCATCAATCTAGAATGCACCTACCAGCTATTTTCGACGAATAAGTTGCGCTGGAACTTTCGTCACAAATGCTATTTCTGTCGAAGATAGATTTCTTTTACCGACAAATTTTCGAGAAAAAACACACCATGTACCACGAAAACTTTCATTGAAAATATTTTTTCATATATGCATTTAATCGTTGACATAATATCTATCCTATCACCAGAGTTCGCATACACAACATTACTAACAATGGAAACAAAATAAATAAGAAATACACTGGCACATGGTGCTAATCTCACATGAATCTCTACAGTAAGGGGGAAAAGGTCATTAACTACACATGGAAAATTATTAAACACCAGGCTATTCACATACAAATTATTCGGGGCACCAACAGTCGTCAAATACTCGCAATGAATATGCTGCACGACAAGGAATATCTACTTGAATCCACTCCATTTCATAGCAGATGAGAAGAAAATAAACAGTATATCATTATATATCATAAAAATATATTTTAAAAAAGGTTGGGACTAATTGATCATTGCTTATAATAACCACTTTGGTGGGGATGATACGGATTCGGAATGGTATACGGAGGTCGAGGAAGAGACCCAGGTTGCTCTGCAGGGGCATCATAATATGGCCCACGCCACCCAGGATAGGCAGGTTGACCATAATCATGTCCAACTGGTGCACGTTGTTGGGAAAGTTGGGGAGGATAAGGGGCAGCGGTAGATGGAGGAACATGGTAAGGAGGAGGTTGCTGCGGGACAGTATAAGGGGGAGGAGGATGACCATACCCATGAATTGGCTGCTCGGGGGGTCTATAGTAGGGAGTTTGTGGTGAAGGATGGGGTATGCTCTGAGGTTCTGTCGTCTGCTGTGGACTGGATCTTGGAGTCTGACGGGACTGTCCAACTGAAGGGTATGGACCTGTGTTCTCACGTTCTTGAAAGCTGAAACCCGCCATTTGCCTTTGAACACCTTCTATCATTTCTCGAGACTGGATGTTTCGAGTCATCACAAAATCGCTGCATTGCTGCTTGATATTGTTGATTGCATCCTGTTTAACAAAAGAAGCAACTTTATACATATGCATATGCCACATTATTGAACCGACCTTTAAATGCTGCCTAAAGTAATAGATGTGCAATTTCCTACCTGAAGAGTAACATAAAACTTCAGTCCCTCGTTAATATTGTCCTTGATTTCTTTACACTTTGCTAAAGCAGCTTGAATTTGTTTGTAACATTTCTCTCGCGATGCTGAAACCAAAAAGTGAAATAAAACATTAAACCACAGATCTTGTCAGAAAATGAATACAAAGCGTGCCAACATCAAAACTTAAGACTGAAATAACCATACAAACCATTGCACTAAACAAAGAACATGACTGATATAACAAATTGAACATGTTTATCCACATTCCACAAGCGACTTTAATCCAGCACCGTGTGTCCTTGATTAATATTATATAAACGAGTAAGGAATTTACATATTTAGACAAATTATATGGATACAAATATAGCATCTTCAGTTTTGGACTTGACACGTCAAGCACAAAAAGTTCAATGCATGCATGAGATTCCCTCAAAAAGATAATAATAATAATAGGTTTAATCTCAAATATACATGAAAAGAGACACGTACCTTTATAATCTTCAAGATTAAAAACAGCACCGAATTCTTCATTCTGAGCCTGCAGAAGGAAAATCAATAAAATAAAAACCAGTGCCAATCATTCAGGGTTCATTTCCTAATAATCATCAAAAATGAAAATCTAAAAATTATAGCGTTGAAGCTGAAAGAACTACAGTATCATGCAGATTAACTTCATGTCAGGACTAAAGTAAATGCATCCGAAACTATCTCTATCCTTGTATATTTACCAGAGGAAGAGAACGAGAGGAAGAAAGTGAGGGAGAAAGAAGGGATCTTTTGTTTAAAATCATTTTTCTTAAATAGAAGTAAGAAAAAGGCTTATGGAAGATCCAAAAGATGACATTTATAAAATTCTCCAATAAATGCACTCATATTCACCAAAGTTTCACTCTTTTTCCTTTTGTATTTTATGTTTACAATAAATAATTCAATTCATAAGGCATGAAAGCTCATTTAAATAAGTTTATCATTCATTGTGAAGTAGGAGTTATTATACGCAACCAGCCACATGGAGCAAACAACACAACCACCCTCAGAAAGAACGGCTCAACTCCTTTTACCATTAAAACTAAGACAAGATGTCTTTTGAACCATATGTTCCATTGCATTATGAGTGCCAAGCAATGACAAGGGAAAATGAGAAAATGTGATATTCACTTGATTACAAACTAAACTTAGTTTTTACATCAATTATCAGACATACACAGTTGTTTCAAAATACTAAATGCTAATGTTGTGAGAATCCAAATGAGCAGGGAAGAATGGACAAGAAGAGATGACTAGACCTGAATTTGCATCAACAATTGTTCTTGTGCCTCAATGTTTTGGGCAATTTCCTCACAAATATAATCATACTTCGCTATCTCCTTCCTGAAAAGATCCTCATAGGAGCCAGTTGATGTCATCAACTTGGGTAGTATGTCATCCTGCACCAATTTATCATGTAAGACTACTGAAGTTTATGATAAATGCCGACAATTCAGTAAAGAAATCAATAACTAGACAAAAAAAGAGATCACATAAATGAGCATTATTATGATCATTTAATATAACTTCTATGTTAATACGGGGCCTGAAAGATCTAACAATAACAAAGAGAAAGCTTGAGGTAAGGAAATTGCCCGACAAGACAAATTTGATGCAATTATATCTAAAAACAAAACAAACACAAATACCCTTCCGCAATACAATCAGCAAAACAAAGAACAATAGTGAGAGAATCAATATTGAATTATTTCCCCTGGTTAATTGCACTGGCTGTCCATTAAGAGAAAACCAAAAATGTTTTCGTCCTCACAGATCAAAGCGTCTAATTTTAATCCTCATGTTCCTCATATTTCCAATTTGAATCTAACAAGCCTTCTGAGTGTGGAACAATTAGCTCAGTTGTTACCTTACTAGATGGAAACAGATGTTAACCAGTGTCTTGTAATTCATTACATGAATATTTTATTATTTATACAAAAAAATGGAACACGAAAACAGGGGGGAATCTTTTCTGTTGATTTTTTTTTTCATTTTCCGTTCAATTTCAAGTCTCTTTTTCAGATGCTTTCACATACATCATTAGTCCCCAGCAAGCCCAGGGGCCTAGAGATCATTCTTTTGAAGAATCTCTTGCACTGCAGACATTGGTACTAGTGAGTTGAGAACAAACATTGTTGAATCATTCCAATCATCAGGCATCATTGCCACACAGCAAGACCATGGATTTGAACCCCAATATCGGTTCAAAGCAAATAATGATTTTCAAAAATAGAAGGGGAAGAAAAAATGTGAAATAAAACCAGAAAATCTCATTTCCCATTTGCCTATAAGCTCGACAACACAATTTAAAATACCAATAATCTCACATTTGAAACTTATATCTCTCAAAGAAACACTCCATCAAACACCTTGACATAATCATGTGACCCTCACCCACATTAGCCACGCATAAACTCAAGTTTAGTTCCACAAAACACAAACTCCACCACAAATCAAGATTTTATCACATTAGAGCAAATTTAAATCTTTGAAAAAGGAGACATCTTGCTTGCACAAATTTCAAGTAGTGAATAACTCTCAACTTGTCTGGACATTTGTTTAGATCTTGTTTGTGACATGTTTCTTTTTTCTTATCTGGTTCCAAAAAGCAAGAAAAGGACAGAAATAAAAATACAAAATAAAATTTACCCATACAATGCAGCCTGAAGGAAATAGCAAGACTAAGTGAAATCAAAGGATGTTTCTAATGGCCAAAGAAGAAAAAACAAAAAGGTGAGAAACGAGCTTTACATTTTAGAGTGTCAGAGCAAGTGGGGCTTGTTGATGAAAGCATTGGCACACAGAATGGGGGGGGGGGAAGAGAAAATAGGAAGGCACGGCAACCAATGAACCAAACCAAAAGATATTGCAAAAATGCCATGGAGAAAAAAAGTAGTGAGCTGCTGGAGACAAAGAGACACTGATGAAAAAGGAAGACACTTGAAAGTTTTTTGTTTTGGTAAAAGAAAATGTAAAGCCAAAGGGCCTGCCTCTTTCACTTTTCTTTCAACTAACACAATTTATATAATTATGCAGAGAAGTGCCTGCTAATTGGCAAGTTACAGATAGGAGAATTACGGAAGTAATTGTGCTTGGAAATGTAGGGACAAGAAAGGCTTTCAGGTTCAATTTCAGGGATAGGGCAGGGGCAGCACATCTTTCTCTACCATTCAGAAGGAGCAATAACATTCGTAACAAAAGTGTCAAGTACAGGAGGCATGGATATAATCCTAGATCATAGATGTAGTTAAATGATCCCCCCCACCCCGGAAACATATAGGAAGATTTCCGCTCAAAGGGCTAAAATGAAGATTACAAGTTAAGTCTGCATATGGAATTATATTGTGTTAGACATCCTTCAGGCACCATTTAAAGAAAAAAGTAGTAGAACGGAATGCCTAATAGAACCGGTCAAGGTGATATACATAAAAACAAAAGAATGCAGAAGATTCATATTACAAACAGTTAACTACACCTTTCTTTTCATCTCTTTAAGCATGTCCTCGAGGCCTGCTCTCTGAGCACCAAGAGTCTCTAGTTGCCTCTGCAAAGAAAATAAAAGTAGATATTAACCATGTTATAAACATAAAAATAGAATTATGTTTGACTTGTAAAACAGGAAAATGACAATGAGTCAACTCAATGACTTGCATAGTAG